CAAATAAAGAAATGATGTTTACCTACGGGGGAAACCCAAAAAAAAAAAAAAAAAAACAATTAATAAAAATTATACATGTAACACAATTAACCTTAAAAAAAAAAAAAAAATTATTTAAAAATTGTTAAATATATAAACTTATAATTTTTTATAATAATATAATATTTAATATTTTTAATCTTGATATATTATCTTATATAACAAATAAAAATAAACAAAATAATAATACAATAATTTTTTATTTTTGAAATTAACATAATAAATCATATGTTATATGATTTGTTAATTAAAGTAAAGCGGTATTTTTTAAAAAAATAAATCTATTATTTTTAAAAAAATTATGATTTGTCATAATATACAATAATAATAAATATTTTATTTTTAAAATCTAAATTATAAAATCATAAAATCATTTAATTTTCTTAGATTGATTTATTGTTTAAAAAAATAAACAAATGAATATTTGGTTTCTTATATTTGATTTAAATAAATTATATTTTTTTAAGTTACAAAATTTGAATTTCAAAGTTTTATTGTTAGATTAATATTTAGATTCATTAAACTTTATGAAAAATGCACGAATCTGTATTTTTAGCAATGATATAATATCAAATACAGTATTTTCTCTTGATATAATATTTGTTTATTCTTTGAATTAAATTTCCGAAATTTCCTGCCCGTCTGAGACCTGCAGGCATTGAGTTTCTTTGGTGCTAAGATAAATTCATTTCTCTAAACCTAAAAAACTTTTCAGCTCTCTCATTTCATTCGCATTTTCGATATCTTCAAACAACTGTAAAGTGATAAATGCTCAATCAATCATGGTGGTACCAATCATGAAATGTATTCAATTTTCGAGCACTTACTCCTTTATATTCTCCGTCAACAAAAATCTGTGGCAATTCCTTCTGTCCTTTATTCTTTCTCTTTATGTATTTCAACTGATCTTCGTCGGCTGCAACATCGACGAAAGTGTAATCAATTTTGTTTGCTTTTAATATGGCCAGAAGATCTATTTGGTTCTTCCTGACCTTAAATTGGAACAATATTTTAAAATCATACATCATCCTGTGAGTTGGGGGATAGAAAAGTATTACATACGAAAACATTTCCAGGGACGCTTGAACCATAGATTTTTACTCGAGCGTTTGGGGTTTCGGCCATTGTTAAACTTTAATGAAATGTCCTGAAACAGACAGACGTACATATTTATACTTATTTGTGGCTGTTGTACTTGCAACCAGTGAAACAATTGACTACATAGTTACTATAATATAAATGACATTTATATTTTTTAATTACAAATCATGAAAATATTATATCTTCTTTCCTGATAAATATTCGAATCAGGATTTCATATCATAGTACTGTCAGGCCGTCCATCAATTGAACGTAACAAACAAGGATTGATTGATTTCATTCGACACTTCGAATATGTTATCCTTTTTCGCCGGCATTCTAAACTTATTTATCTCTTAACAATTAATAAAATGATTTCACTTGCGCTTTATCACGACAGTTGCTCAAACTGAATTTGATAGCGAATCTGAGTTTAATTATTCGGAGAACCTTGCGCGCGAACGGGGGCATGCTAAATGTATGCCGGCTAACAAGGAGATTGCACTCGGTGGTCAGTAAATTTTTATTGGCAACTCGCCTCTTGTAAATATGTAGGTTTTTCATTTGAAGAGATTCATAAATGAAAGGTTCTTTTTAAACATTAAGTGCAAATGAATACAAGTACATCGACTATCAATTTAAAGAAAATTTTTTTTTCTCGTGAATAACTGCAATAAAGAAACTGGTTTGCTTATTATTGTATTTACAAAGTTACAAAGTCACTCTATTTTCATCTCTTCTCGATCGTATCAACAAGCCGACTTTTGATATTCCAAGATCAGATAAATACCCCAAAGTGAAAAAAAGAAAAACGTATAAACAATAAAAAAAAAGTTGATCATTATACAGTCTGTCTAAGAATAAAATAAGTGTTTGAGAAAAATTTTCTTCCTCGAATGAACCGATTAAACTTGATATAAAATTAAATGTTTGACAAGTGTTGCCTAAGAAGTATTAAGTGGAAAAGCATTAGAGATATCAACTCGCAAATTGAAGTAAATAATGAATCACGTTTCTTACTTCTTCTTTGTCAACAATAATAATATCTTGATTGTTATTGGCGACTATTTCGACAGAAAACATAGCTTTAATTGGTACTGCACCGCAATATCCAAGAGAAATGGAAGAGTGTCTCGCAAACCACATTCCTATAGTTGATCGTAGATCATTAACGAATTAAATATTGTTTATTTATTGACCTAGTAATAATGTCGAAATGAAATTAGCAAACACTTACGTCCTCCATGCTTGCTAACGTTACGGAGGTTGCCGTTTTGACTTATTCCGCAAAGTCCGCAATTTACTGTACAAAAATTTACTTCGGTATTGTTGTCCTTATAATATCTCTCCGCGTTGCATGCAACAATGGTTCCGTGAAACATCTCATTAACTGTCATCTTGGTAGCTTGTTTATATCTTTCGTGAGCGTCGACGAGCCTCCTTGGCATGTTCATCCGGATAATGGCTTGTATCCTTGCGTTGGGAATTCCTCTGAGGAATCTTTGCTGCACTTTAACATATTCATTATCCTTTGGATTTAAAATTGTCATTCGTGTACGGGCGTTATAAAATTCTTCATACTGCCTCTTCTTTTCGGCGGCCCCCGGCAATTCCTCATTGCATAATTCACAATTTAATATTGACGAATTATTCATGTATGTACAGTGTGTGCATTGTACCATTTCTGTATCTTCGTTCACGGGTCTATCGCTGATGGGCGCATAACACATTTCACATTGAGCCGCGTGGCCCGCGTTTAGGAAAGAACACATCGAGCATAGAACTTTGAACTCGATTAATGTTTCTTCGTATTCTTCGGCAGCTATTTGTGCAAGGATCAATCCATCCTCCAAAGATTCTTCGGGGTAATGATTTAATAATACCTCGTCGCATTTCTCGCAATTAACCATTAGGGGATGATTCATATACATACAAACTGAACATGGAATCTGCTTAGAATCATCTGTTGTTTGGGGTGGAGGAGTTGGCAGCTGTTGTCTTTCTTGTTTTGTGTATTCTGCCGGTGAATGTGATCTAACTGGGAGGTCTCCATAAAGATCATCATCATCATAATATTTACTTCGATTGTCTTTTGCTGTGTCTTTTTTAATATAGGTGCCGTACAAGTCATCTGCCGGTGAATGTGATCTAACCGGGAGGTCTCCATAAAGATCATCATCATCATATTTAATTCGATTGTCTTTTGGTGTGTCTTTTTTAATATAGCTGCCGCACAAATCACATACGGTTTGGTTTGACCGAACGTAATATGTGCAAGTTGGGCAGGCGATTTCACCATCTGAAGCTTTACTTGGAAATGAATAAAGATCATCGTCGTAATCGGTTTTCCGCGATTTCTGCATCGTATCCATAGAAGAGTTATACCAAATAGGATAATCTTCTATTAATTCTTTTCGTGGTGAATCCAATTTGGAGATGGGTTGCGTGTTTGAGTACAGTGTTTTCGAGTACAAAGGCGACTGCGAAGTATATGAATAATTATCCCTTGAAGCTGACGGGGAGCTGGATGCGTAGAAGTCCATGTAGGTATTATTTTCTGACCTTTTCGAAGACCAGGTCGGTTCCGATAGGTATAAATCGTCTTCCCCATCGTTTTTATTGGATGCCAAATGACATGTCTCACTACAATAATTGTAATCCTCGTTTGTTACCTTATTGCACCCAGCATTCTGACAATACGTTTTACCCTTTTTGTTGAGCTTTTTTAAAGATTTTATCATACTTGGCAGGGTCTTTTTTTTATTGGGATTTCGATTATATTCCTGTTCCATGTTACAAATAATTTCTTCTTGGTTCAAAGTGACTTACGAGCTCATTAAATATATACAGTACGGAATTAAAATACGTAAAACAAAGGTAAACGGAAACTAGAGTGATGTTTCTCCGATGTGGCACAAGATTCTACGTATCATATGTAACATACGTTTTGTTTCCTAATTAGTACAATTAGTGTTACAGTTTCGTTTTTTTACGCGTTTATTATTTCTTTATGAAGAACAGACAAAGTGTTTACACACAAAATGTTTTGAAACTGGAAATCATAATATATTGGTCATTACATTAACATTACTTGGTCCATTGTACTCGTTTCTTGGATTGTAGATCATTGCACTCGTCTAAAGATTTTCTTTTAAACCTAACAGGTTTATGGAACGTTGTGACGGATGATTTCAATTTGGGAGTCATAGTATTCTTTCTAATTTGCTCGTTCCTATCTTTCATTTCTTCGGAAACATTGAACATTTGATTGTCAATTGACTTTCCTTGGCTTATAAGCTTTACCGACTTTGGTTTCGCTGACGTTATACCATTTACGAGAACCGGATCACGTTTTTTTTTACTTTGTATCTTTTTAGCCGATACTGGAACGCCAATGATTTTTCTACATGCTTTAGATGACGGATTGTCATTGGAATTCTTTCCGCACTTCTGACTAGTTGATTCTGGATTGATGAAAAACTTTTCCTTTTTTTTACCCTTCAAATGGATTGGTTTTCGGGACGCAAGATCGTGATCCGAATCACAATCCGATGTCGCAATGAAACTTCTTCTCGATTTTATGTATATCATGTCATGATTATTCTGATTTAACTCGTTGGTCTGATAATCCCCAACGCCATCTCTGCTTGTGAATATTTGTTTCTTGGAAAGTGATGATAGAATGTTGTCATCGTAATAGTAATCTTCGCTATCGTCTTCTGATGTCTTGATATCCTCGACATATTTACACTTTTGCTTTTTATACGCCACGCCGTTACTATCGAAACCCAATTGTCCATAAGTGATATGGGTTTCATCACCTTTTCCTCCTCGCCCGCGGCTTGGGGGTTTCTGTAGGATACGATAACCGGAAGGAACGGTAGATATAGCATATCCATCCTCGTTAAGATCATATTTCGACCCCTTAGTAGTGGCGAGTACCTTTCCACTTTGCTTCCTTCCCTTACAAATAGTGTTCTCTCGTGGAACATCACGGTCTACTTCAATGTCATCACCTTCGTCTTCAGATGGTGTATCATACTTCACCTTTAATCTTTTGTATGAAATTTCATTGTTATTTCTCTTTATGCGATTCAGTCTTTTGTATGGATCCTCAGCAGGTGACACAGCGGCTTTGTTCTCTAATGATTCATTTTGCACGTCGCCATGATAAAGTTTGGGATTAGATAAAGGGATCCCTAAATTTTTCTTATTTCTTTCTCTATCAAGCTTTGTTGGATATTCATCATATATCGTTACAGGATGACTTTGATATTTTGATTTTCTTGACGCATTTCCATTGCAATTTCCCCCAGGTGTAATGTGTATTGAACTTTGTACTTTTTTGTCATTGCCTCCGACTCTTTCACTGTCGCGAGAAATTCGACCATTCAACAATCTCATTTGCCCATCTTTTTGATAATGTTGTACACATTCACGGTTATTTCCCTCATCTGATATTGCATCCATGATTTTCTTTACCCTTTTCTTTTTATCGGTTCGAATTCTTTCGTTCTCATCTTCAAGATCTTCTTCATCTCCATCTTGATCATCAAGCTCTATTCTCTCACCCTCCTTGTGCATCATAGCCTGAATTTTCTTTTCACCCTCCGCCAATTTAATAATATCTTTGACGTCATCTTCCTTGAGGAACTTTGCAATACGGGAATTGAACAGTTTTTCTACTCCCTTTTCCCACAAAAACTTTAAAATATCTGTTCGTAATTTATGGAGTTCTAACCACTTACTAGCCTTCAGGGTGATCCTCCACATCCTCCTATCCCACTTTGTGAGAATAACGTGAGTAAGTTTTCGTAAATGATAAACGAATAAGTGAAATTGTCATGATAAATTAACCTTCTGTATGGGTACGCATACATACCACTTGAACTAACAAATTCTCGCAATGCTCAGTTAATTCCGGCACACAAAACTTATGAGCCAAGTACGCGAACACAAACAAATTATCCATCTTCTTATATGGCAGAGGATGTCCATACCTAAGTTGAAGCTTAAGATTAGAGAAGCTTAACAGTTCGTAAGAGCGTCATAGAATAATTAATAAGAAATTTTAATTTACAAGTATGCGAGGAAATTTCCAAATTGTTGGGAGGAATAGTAAAGTTCTAGTTTCAATTCGTTTCCTTGATATTTTTTTTTCTTCAAATCATACCAATTATTAATTGTGTTCGTCATGGAACATGAAAAATCATGAAAATGATATTCATCTTTTGCTCTAGAGAATTTGTTGTGATGAGTGGATAACGAAGGTTCATCAGAACCCGTGTTTGTGGCATTGTGTGAAAGTAACGAAGATGATGCATCTATGACAAGGTCGGTATGGTTTGAAGAAGGGGATGTGTGGCGATAGTGTTTGTAATGAGAAAGGAAAAAAGATTTAAAGAAACCGGAGGTGGCGATTAGAATACAGGTGTGTCCATGGTAGGCCCTGCCATCTACGTGCAGCACAACATCCGACAATTTCGGATTGTCGAATAATGAACGAATCTTGGATGGCAGATCCATCTCTTCGCGTGCTATCTCAGTCATTTGCTCCGAGGTTCTTATAGAAGGTAAAAAAAAAGAAAAGGACGACTAATTTGTTAAAAGGTTGCATTACAAAAGTTTACATCACAAGGTTTAACTCAATCCATTTGAGAAAAAATCTTTAATCATAACGTAAAGATTATACATTATTTAAATCATCATTCGCGTAATTCTTATGATATTTTATGCGTGTTATATGTATTGAACAGGATACGTAATTTGTATTTATAATCCGCATTTGAAAAAAGAGGAATAAATAGACCGGTTATTTGTAGGTTTTTTCTCGTAAGAATGAATTGAAAAAAAATAGCACACACACACATACAACATATTGACAGAAAAATAAAATACAATCAACTTTACAAATCAACATTTACCACATATTTTAAATACGGTATATTATATATCCGCCTTTTTTTTACATCTTTCTATATCATGAAGCAGAAATATCGACAAATTAATTTTTTAAAAAGTAGTATTCAAATTAAAATGTAATTCGTATAAATCGTCAATAAGTAATTATTATATAACTATAACCTATTTTTATATGAATATTTAATACACTAAAAAAAAACAATTATACTCAAATTACGAGAGCCGATAACGGATTTTTATTTGAATGCCTGTCATTGCTATGTAAACATTAATCGAGTCATATGAAGTAAATTTATATTTCTAGAAAATCAATTATTGATTATTATTTTATGGAAAGTTTTTGAATATTGTTTAAACAATTATTTACCTAATGAAAAAAGATAATAAAAATCAATATCGATATAATTCCATGATTCACATGACATTTTTAACTTTCGATGAAATTTTTGGTAACTCGGGATTAACACCTATACTGCAAAAAGGTACTAAAGTCAAACTATAATCATTAATGATTTTTGAGTTAATAAATAATATAATATATATATATTTCATAATATAGAATACAAACATATAATATATTAATTAATGAATGAATTAAATAATTCTTTTTCTTGTATACTAATGACTTATTAAAAATTATATTTACAATATTAAATTAATTAAACATATACTGTATATTGTATATACAGTATTATATATTTGAAATTTCTCTTCATATTTTGTTTTAATACTTTTTACAGAATTTTTCAAAATTACAAATAATTATTATCAAATGATAATTTATTGTTTTCTATAAACAATATTTTTACTTTATTTTTTAATTTTAATATTAATTTATATTTTTTAAAAAATTAATCAATCAAATAGTGATTTTTAATTAATTATATATATTTAATACATATAATATAAATATATAAATCACTACAAATAAATAAATTTTGATTAAATCATGTAATAAATTAATTAAATATATATATATTGAATAATACAATATGATTTAAAATTATCATTATATATATTTTTATTATTGATTTTTATTTACTTACTTTCATTACTTTTTTAAAAATATATCAAAAAATATATTTTAAACTATACATATAATATAATACATATAATATAATAAATATATTATATATATTATATTAATTTAATTAAATAATTTTATCCAAATTTGTAATTATGTTTATTGAATTATAAAATAATATAATCATGTTGATTTATTTTATATGATAAATCTAATAAATAATTGTTGATACTTGATATTTATTTGTTTAAATATTACTAATTTATATACTATAGTTTGAAAAAAAATTATAATTATAATTATATCAACTATTAAATAAAATTGAAAAATTTTTTATTTAAAAATTTAAAAAAATATATATTTGAGCAATTATTTTTGAAAGTAACTAAATGTTAAATAAGATTTTTTGGTTCCTATTTTTTCAATAATACAAAACCAAGACTACAATTATGAGATCCAAAAAATCACTGTTCACCTTTAAGGATAATTACACATTTATCCAATAAAATTTAAAAACCAATTATATTATCTCTATTTATAATAATAACTTTAAAATATTTTATTATGGATTTGATCAAATTTATTAAAACAATTTTTGAAATATTATTTTATTATTTTATAAATTTTTATAAAATTTAAATTGAAGAAAAAATAAAAATAAATAAAAAAAAAAATAAAACTCTTTCCACTGATTCTTTTGCCAATCCAAAAAACAGATGTTCTCAAAAAAACTTTTTGTTTTTATAATAATAAAGTCTATACACTTTCCTTAACAACACTGGTTCCTTAATCAGCAAAGCAAGCAAAAGCTACCACTTGTTTTATTTTTTCTTTTAAAAACACTTTTCTTGTTTATTTCGATGACTAAATACAAAAAACCTATCTAAAAGATTTATGGCAAAAACACATCTCTAGGAAGAAAACTGACAAGAAAAAATACTCTCCAAAAATTTTCAAAAGATTCAAGAATCCAGAGAAACAAGAATAAAGAAGTCTCCAGTCTTTCCATCATCTTTTTGGCTTCCCTCTTCTTTTTTCTCAAGTGTGCTTCCTTTTTTCTGGTTTTTCTGGGGAATTTTGCCTACCTCAGTTTGACCCTGAA